GTCTGCTCTGGGGCAGATTAGGGCAATAGCACAAGTTACCATGGCGATGTAGCGTCATAGTGCAAGAGACCCTGAAGTGTCCTGGATGAGAGGGGGTCTTGGTTCATAGTACGGGCCTCTGGGCTGCATCAGATCCTGACTGCCACAAACACACAGTCGCACACACAGACACACAAAAACACTCACACTGTCAGGACTGATTGCTTGACTCTCATCTCCGGTTTCAAGTAATTTTTCCTGCTATTGAAGTGGCATCTTCCCCTGCTCGGGAATGGCTTAGGTTTCCTGGACTAAGTGGGCGAACCAGAGGATGAGTAAAGATATTTAGAGCTCTTTAGTGGGCCGGCGTGGCCGTGCATTCCTCTGCTGCCTGTCAATCATTTGGCCAGAGATGGCAGCCGTTCCCACAAGACCCCCGACTCACCTCATTCCTTCATTTTCCTTCAGCAGTTTTCTTTCAAGCTTTCTTTCAGCCACCTATTTTCTTTTGTCTCACACACGACTTCTGGCACATCACACGCTCATATACAAGAGTGTGCATGTGTGTGTGCCAGGTGGGTCTCATCATGAATGACACTGATCGGTACAGTTGTACATTCCCCCAAGAGGAAGGCTGGTTTCTGAGACACGAGGAGCAGCTTCACCTCACAGATTTGTCTCTAGAAGCAGATGGGAACGGCCCCTGAACAGAGGCGCACTGTGAGCAGCAGAAGGAGAAAATGGAAGCGCATTTTATTTGTCAATCAAAGTTAAGGACAGCGTCGTAATGGGTGTGATTGAATCTGTCTCCAGATAACTGGGAAATGTGGAAAATAGTGTGTGTACGCTTTTGTGCGCCTGCCTGTGTCTGTGGAAACTTTAATACAGTCGATGTGTGTCTTTCCTGCCTCGATCAGGACAATGCGGGGCTGAAATGATACTCTCCCAGATCAGGTAACCTATCAGAGACCTTCCTGCATATTTAACCAGCCAGCAACAAAGCACAAGGCCAAAGCCCAGCTGCCATGGCTTCTCTGGGACTCGGTTTAGATCTTTTGTTTGAATGTTATGAACATTTGTTTAAAGAGGCCAGATCGCTGTTTTAAGACGCATGGTTAGTTTGATTTAACTGTCACATATCTGGTTAGATGGATGGACCTGCCC